TATAAACTAGGTAGATCTTTTCATTAGATTCAAAATGCATAAGCAAATTGTCAGTAGCCTTGAAGCTCAACTTCAAAGGCTTACTCAGTGCTCCAGTGTCTGTAGAGAAAGTTGAGGTATATCTTCTTAAATTGAAACCTAATGAGGGCTTGCCCAAAATTTCCTCATGAGTAAAAAACAAAACCCAAACCAAATTATCATCTGATACTTAACACCAAAGTTTAATCCCCTATAACCTGTGCCATTAAAATTTACTCTTTTATTTGATCTTTACAGTTCTTACTAATTTTAGATTTAATTACCCCTACCCCCACCGGCGTGTTAACATCATCTTTCCTGTATTGCGAATAGCTAATGACCATTTTTCTCTGTTGCAGGTGAATGCACAATATTTGCAGCTGTTCGTGATTTAATGGCTAATCTTACACTGCCCCCTGGTGGGCGTCCATAGACACTATTGTTTTTAAACCAGGAAGGCTGACAAATGAGACAAAACAACAAAAAAAAATCTGAATTTAGCCTTCAGTTTAAAAAAGAAAAAGGACTTTTTTGACTTTAAGAGCTAAATATTCTAAACTGGCAAAAACTTTCAGGGTGCACTTCTTTCAACAAAAAGACCGTCAATCTTTTGTATAGTGAACTTGTATAGTGTGTTTAAATGGGACACATTTCAAACTAGGTAATACATCAGTGTCCACTTGCCAGTAATAGATTTAATATTCTGTTTTATACTATAAAGTTACGGAAATGCCAAACTTGTTTATTTAATTGTTTTCTTATGTTTTGGGTGTTATAGTCCTTTTTTGTTTTTTGTTTTTTGGTTTTTTTTAAGGCAGGTCTGTCATTTTTGAATACTGTAAAACTGTGATAAACTTTATATTGAAGCTGTATTTTAATATGACCGCTTTGAATCCTTACATGAAAATGTTCTGGGAGTTGTTATAAACACATCCCAAAGAAGCAATATTTAATAAAACTAGGTTAAAAAACAAAAAACAAAAAAAACAGTGACACTCACTTGTGTGTATATCAGCTCTATAGACTTCTCAGGGCCTCCCTTTATCTTTAACCTGGTGGGGCCAGTAATTAATTTCTAATAGTACATGTCTGAAATTTGACCAAAAATATCTGCTTCTTTGTTTCAAGTTTATTTAAACATTCCTAAATTGGTGAACATTTAGCACTTTGGTTGTCTTTCAGTTTAGGATATGGGTAAAAGGAAAAGAACCCAGTCTTTTAGAAGAGACAGTGAGTACTTCATATTAATCAAGGATCTCAAATACTGCAGTCATTCAGATCTGTTGAGGATGTGGTAACTTTTCTGTTAGGCAAATTTAGTTTACAGGATACTTCTGCATACAGCATTAATTAGGAAACAGAACTTGAGTGTTCTGCCCTTGCATGAAGTTTCTGTGATGTTTCTTTATCTTGCTTAACTTCTCTCCGTACCTTCCCCACCAAAATTGGGGTTATTGTAAACAAAATGATAAAATGTTTTGCTTGGAAGAAACCTGGCCCAGTCCCCTCACTTTGAAGAATCCAAGATTCAGGGCCTGTCCAGGGTCAAATGGAGTTTCTGATACTAACAGATCTCAGCAGAGTTTCTTTTTGGAGCACTGTGCTGTTTCCCCCAGTCAGTCAGGAGCTTTGATAAGCTTCCAAGAATGTGATCAGGAGCAAAGGTCTTCTGGTGACTTGCTGTTATTTGAGAAAGTTTTTAAAATGATAATACCATGCTGAGTTATCTGGTCACTGTAATATTGGTTCTCCATTTAATTTTAGACATTTTGTCTAATTATACTTTAAGATGATTTAACTGAGCTTCTGTAACTATCAACTACCAAATTCTGGTTTCAAGCATCTCGCTGCAGTTATATCAGTTCTCAACTTTGCTTGATTCTCTATTCATTTCTGATCAGAGTTGAGGCTTCTTTGCCTTTCTTCTATGTCTTATTTCTGCCGTCATCTGCTTCTTGCCCAACTCTGCCGCCATTCAGGAGCAGGTGACTAAACTTTAATCCTTCCTTTAACTTTTATCCTTCTGCTTCTAGTTCTCTTTACAATGGTAATCACATCAGTTTGGCAGTCTAAGATGTCTTTATCAAGGGTCAGTCCTTTTCTATTTGGAGCTGAATCCTTTCTTTCATGTAGAAATCTACATGTATATACAACAAATGTATTTTTTATCTTCAGGGTAATATTGTCTCAAATAATTTTATTAATAGAGTTAACTTTTCAGGTATTTTCCCTTTTAAGTATGGTTGGTTTTGAAATGTTAATTGCATTTTTAAACATGATGCATTCAGTAAACACTTTTTTCCTAATTATAAGTCATCTCTGAATGCATTGTGCAAATCAAAAGTGACATAGGATTCAGTGAACAAAATTTGCTTTTGATGGTTATTAAGAGTATACCCATGAATTTGAATTTTGATATTATGCTTGGTACTTGGAATTGGTATACTTTATTAAAGCTTGAAAATACTAGCATTCGAATCTTAGGTTTCATCACAAACCATGTCTTTGCCTCTTTTGTTACCCAGTTTCAATCAAAGGGACTGGATGCCCACAGAGATTTTTCCTAATAGGTGGTTTAAGTCTTAACGTGAAGATGTTTTCAATGTGATTTTAGTAATTTTAGTAATAAATAAAACTTGTACAAGTTTCAGAGAACTACCAACTCTCTAGTTAATTTTCATGAAGATGTTCTGGATAGTAGTATGGTTTAGTATTAATTTAACCCTGAAAGAAGAAATTGGTCCTGATTTGCCACCTTTCTTCTATCTGCTGAAATGTCATTTCAGAATGTATAGAACTACTTTCAGAATTAGGAAAAAAGCAAAAACTTCAATAGAACATATCAAGTTATTAATAACGGGCTGAACTTTATATTTGGAAATTAACTCTGAGCTGAGTGCAAGCATAAACTAAAATATACATTATTTTGAATTTAAATACCACTGATAATATTACTGTGTTGTAGTTAACACAGTAACCTGTTCAGCCACAGGATACTAAAGGTTAGTCATTCTTTGGACCACGGTTAATTTGATACTGCAAGAAGTATAATTTTGCTACTCTAAATTCAGATCCAATTTCAACATAAAAAGTTCTTTCTTTCATGATTTTTCCCCAAAGAAATACCTATTATGTTTTGCCTTAATATTATTTATCACCCAAGTGTTCTTGATATAAAATCAGTAGATTGAAATTTTTAAGAGAACTTTTGTTCAGGGAACTTAGAGAGAATGGGAAAATGTTAATATATATTTCATTGTTTTTCATTTGGTTTGATGGGAATGGACGGTGTGTCTAAGGGAATGATTTGAAATTTATTTAGGATAGATTTAGCACTGAGGTTATTCAGAATAAATTAGCAGAGGCCAACCAGCATTGTGCCGCACAACTCCAGGAGACCATGATCTGTCTGCTCACAATTTTATGTAAATTGCCTCCACTTTGAAGTGGCTATGAGTTGTTAAAATACCTTGCCCAGGAATATACTGATTGATGAAAAGGCACATTTAGGTCAATATAAAATAATAGTTGATATTTACAGAGAGCTTACTATTGCCAAGCACTGTTCTAAGTATTTCAACGTGTATTTAATGCTCACAAAAACCCAATGGGATAGGTATAAATATCCTTTTACAAATGAGTAAACAGGCCCAGAGAAATGAAACAATTTGCTAGATCAAATTAAGATTGCTTAAGATCAAACAGCTAAGAAGGGGCAGTCTGAGTGCAGACCTAATTCTAAACACTGCCACTTTGCTGTGAACCACAAAGTCAGGGGAAACTTCATTGTTTAGACTCTTACCTCTCAGCCTTTTGACTACACATAATTTTAACATGTTTTCCAAGCTCAAGAAGCTCACTAAACAGCTAAAACTGAGATGATCTCTTGTCGTTTGGAGTTGACAGTCCATTGCCTTCTGACCTTCATAGCACAATTATTTGGAACTTAAACTGCCTTATGAGAGAAGCACTATATAATCAAGAGTACTAAATAATCATCTAAGCTCCATGCTTCAGGACGATAGAAGAAGCCCTTATCCGCCTCAGGGCGGTGCAGCCTTCCAGGATCCAGGTGATGTGTTGTCTAGTTCGCCTCTGCTAGGTGGCCCAATGGCAGATGTTTTTGAGCCTTCTGTCACGTTGGCACACCGAAAACGCATAATGCGCGGTACGAGCTACCAGCGGTCACATTTCACTGATGCCCCAATTTGCTACAGCAATCAAGCTTAGGAACCAGTTAAGTAAACTTTCTAGAATTGTATAATGCAAGGAACATGTGTAATTCAAGAAGTGTGTCTTGAGCACTTTATACATCCCTGCAATAAACGAAAAACAGGAGCGCGTACATCAGGAGAGGGAGTCGAATCCGGCCGGCGGGGTATCAGTTTAGGGGATTATAGGAGAGGGCATTAACAATTTTCAGGTAGAAGCCTTCTGGACAAGTATCAGACAAAGCACTTAGTGTCTGCTGTCACTTAAGACTAGGGTGGGGCCCACGTGTCCGGCGAGCCAGAATACCCCGCCCGGGGAATCGAGGGCGCCACCCCGTGCGCTCTGCTGCGGGCACCCGGCACTTGGGGGTGACCTACAGGCGGGGCCGCGCCTACAGCGCCACGCTGCTTCCGGCACCGCCTAGGCTTCTGCGCCTGCGCGCTGCTATGCGCCCCGCCTCTCGCCCTGTGGCTTCTCATGCAGGCGCGGGACATGGTGTTGTCGGAGCTGGCCGTGCGCCTCAACTGCGCGGAATATAAGAACTGGGTGAAGGCGGGCCACTGCCTGCTGCTGCTCCGCGGCTGCCTGCATGGCTTCGTCGGCCGCGAAGTGCTGGCCTTCCACCGCGGCCTGCTCGCTGCCGACCCCGGCCTGGGCCCCCGCGCCACAC